CTACTGATCAAAACTGCCTGATACATTTCTTCAGACCTTGCTCCCACAAAAGGCAATTGTGGGATGGGAAAACAGCAGAGGTCAGGGAGGCTGTACCCTAAACTGCTAAGAGCAGCTCCTTCCAAGGAGCTGGAGGGAGGGAAGAGGTGAAAGGGAGGGAAGGTGGGAGAGTCTCCAGTTGGGATTTTTCTTTCTCACTGTTAAAATTGGTTCCATGTTAACAAACATGGTCTACAATTTTTAAAAATCAATAAAGATGAGTTTTGAAGAGAAAGAAAATTACCTTATGTGTCACAATGAACACATCAAAATGATACAACCAGAAGACTCAAAGACCCTATAGGGAAATGAGGTCTCTGGGAGGATGAGTTGTTTGAACCTGGAATCTGACCCCCGAAGAAGGATGTGGCCTTTGAGACACTGAGTTTGATCCAAAAATGAAAGGACCCCAAAGTTTATAAATAATTTTGAAATCAAAGCTAACAGAATGTGTATGTCACACCATCTAGTCACAAAAATATATGATGGACCACAGATGAACAAGAATAAATATGTGGTGGCCTACAGACTATGGTATTAGAAGAATTCTTGGATGTCCTTTCTTTTGGGGACAGCACCTGTAGCAACAGATTCCCTAACTAAGAGGAACAATGGGAGCCTATCTGAGGCATGCTGCACCTGTTCCTGATTTCTGTGGCCACCATGACGCTAATAAGGTTCTGTATTCCCAGCTAGATAAATCAGGAACAAAATCTAAATGCATAGTGGAGTATGGAAATAGTCCCTTTCACTAATCTGTAACCCACCAACCCACAGGAACTCCACACACCCTTTTTTGTGTTTCTGTATTAACCGCAAGGAGAAGCAACACCTTAAAAATTCTACATCAGGTCTTCTTCATAAGTTATGGACAAAAGGCCAGCAAATCAGTCATGTACCTTTCCCTGACTAGTGAAATCTCATGGAATATTGGGTGTAAAACAAGGTGACAAGGAAGCAGGACTTCCATCCTGGCTCACCAAAGTATCTAAACGGGATGCCACATTATTACACAACCAAATAAATGCCAAAGTAAATTGAGTTTACAACGCAGCGGGCCCTGGCAAAGTGTTTGTACATTTCATGGAACACCAAGCACCGTTTCAAATTTTGCAGCAATCTGCCCAACTTCTTGGATTATCTGAGATTAAAAAAAGGGGGAAAAAATATAGTCTTGCAAACTACTTAAAATATCCTAAAGTTACAAAAATACCTTTTTTTTCCTTTCACATTCATATAACCTTTCTCCCAAAGCACAACAGAAAATTCCAATGTACCATCCAGTCCAGAGAGAACAACGTGCCTTTACATTTCTAAATTCCAAGGTGAAGAAAAGAAGGGGATGGAGGAGGGAAGGGAAAACCTTGGCAATTCCATACAAAACTCTGAACAGAGAAATGTCTTCAAACTATAAACAAATGTCTTCAAGTTATGAGCTGTCAGAGCCCTTGTTGTGGGAGGGAACGAAGGGAGAAATTCTGATGAACTTGCCAGTCCAAGATCAGAGCAACCAGCTGCTCCTCCAATCAGCCAGAGTTACAGATGAGACAGTGAGAACACAAGCCTGGTGAGCGTGCAGATGGTAACACAGAGCATGGTTCTGTGATGCTTCCTTAACTATGAGACCTGACCTGTGTCTGCAGGGTCTACCCCTGGTTCCTCTGCTTTTGTTTGAAAGAAGCTGGATCAAACTGCAAAGCTAAGGTGTGCATGACTCCCATGTCAACAAAACCCACCTATGGAAGAAACTGCTTCCATTAATGGTTCTTAATGGCTTTTTTGTTAGTTCATAATTTGAAATACGAGGTGTGTTCACTACGACGAATAATGCATTATGTACGCTAAGTGTTGGTTAATTTATGATAAAGAAGCATCCTTAAATTATAATACCCGGTTGAGTCGGCTTGTTCTTAAGAAATCCAGACGATATATCTAATACTTAAATATACAGCAGTAAGACATCAGTCCATATTATCCACCATGAAAGTCAATAATAAGAATAAAGCCACAAGGTATTAAAGAAATACAGAAACAAGAAGCTAATCCTACAAAGCTTCGTGAATTTACAGACTAAACGGTGAAAACGTGAGGAATAAGTAGTAATGCGAATTTCCAACCTCTAATCTGAATTCCAAAGACTGGACCTAAGTTTACAGGAAACTGTCAACAATTTTTAAACATGCTTTATAAAGCTCTTTTTTTTTTAAAGCCTAACTCTGCCAAAAAAAGGAATTAACCTGAAAACATGAAGTTAGCTTTTCAAAAATCATTCAACCCACTGATAGTAAAATGTTGGTAATGAGTTTGCGTGTGTGATCTTCCATCAAGTTCTCGAAAACCAGTAGGAGATGGGGAGATTTAACCAGGATTCTCTAGCACTTGCTACCACATCTGACTGTACACATCGACCTCCACTGAGAAGCAGGTATGTTCTGTTTTAGCAATTTAAATCTTCAAAAATTAAATGAAGAATTTACTGAGGCTACACTCTGAAAAAAAATGTTCAACATAATCTATCATAATGCACTTAATTACTATACTTGCTATTACTCATTCCTTGAAAATGTATATTCATAAAAAAACGGTCCAAGATTGAGCAAATTAACTGTTTTTACTATTAACTTTAACTACGATTTAACTTTACAAAATTACGCTTATGATTTAAAAACCATAAAAGGGAAAAGAAAAAAAAAAGACATTTCTCTCACTTACCTTTCTATAGTAAGTCTTTCATAATACTATTTTCATATATAAAAGTTTTGAAAATATGTAAACTATTTTTAAGTACCAAATCCTTAAGTATCTGGAGCCATCCCTTACATACTACTCTCCCCCAAAATATTATTTGAATTACTTAGAATGTCATTTTATAGGAAATTACATATTTTTATTTGGTCTTTTATCAAAGGGCGCTACAATTTGTCTAGACAGCTATCAAACCCGTCCGCATTGCTATGCAAACTATACTTTTTTTTTATATGACATACTTCACTACTTTATATACTGAAGTATAAAAATGCGCAAGTTAATAAACTATATTCAGCTTGAAATACAGATTTACCAATTGCTCATTTTTAGTTAGACTGGGACTTCTATTTCTAATAATTTATTTGTGCTTTAACTTGGGACATTTTTCTGTGATACCTAAATTGAAGGTTGTAGCTCCAGCCACTGTTACCAGGACACAGCAACATATAAGGAAAAATGGGTGTATTATTCAAACCACATAGTACAAGTTTTCATTCTAAGCATTTTCAAAATAACATTTTTTTAAGTAATAAAAACATTTAGGAATGATATCCATTTTAAGATGATACAGAAATGGTATTTCAACGCATTTGCATACGGGTGATTTCCACACCATCACATGTAATTGCCTTTACTGAAATACTGATTGCAATTAATATACTTTAATACAATATGAAACATTACCTTTGAATTGGACACAAATCACTACTAGCACAAATCCATGTCATCTCTTCTACAATGTATCCTTCAGATTTAAAAAGTAGACTATTATGGTGAATAAAACAGACATATTTCTCCACATTTTATTATAATTTAATTCATATAACTTTAAATTCATCTAACTTTAAAAGGCATAGACAAAACAACTGTGATTCCTGTGAACACCAAAAAACTTGGTTTTTGTCAATTTTCACCCAAGCAGAATGGAAAGATTTAATGTATAATCTATTCCCAAAAGAAAACTTGCCTTTATGGGGGCGGAGGGGAGGGGGAAAAAAATATCCACTAATTGTGGCAATATCTAGAACTTCAATCACATCAGAGTAATAGTATATGCTAAACTGTTTGGATCTTTTTTGCCCTCACCAAATTTCTGCTTGTTTTTTCATGAAAGAGCTTCTTCATTTCATCACTACATCTTAAAAGAGTCTATGCAAATAAAAAACAACTGACTTTAAATTTGTTTTTCAAGAATCTTTCCCACTTCCTGGTAAGAATCATATATTGCTTCCAGTTAGAACACATCATCCCTCTATTTACTTTAATTGTAAACTTTAAATAGTGGGAGATGTTTTTATCTGAGCACACGAATGAATGCAAAGACCAACAATGAATCACCAGTGTGTAAAGTTCACATTGTTTAATGAACACTAACACTTGGGACTCTTTCAAATGAATCAATTAGGTGAATGGGTTAAAAAAAGGTTCTTTTAAGCAAGGAAGTTCCCTTACTTGCCCTTTTAGCTTTCCTTGCCTCAGTCATATTGAAGAGTTGGAATGTTTATCTTTAAACAAGGAGTATGTCCAATGTGATGTGGAGGACACACGTGTGAGATGGAATTCTATTCTTAGACTTGTTACAGTTTTCCCCAGTAATTAGGAAGCTATATGTCCATGATAGAATGATGCTAACAAGCTCCTGCAGTTTCTACTCTAGCAAGAAGAAATCAAAGAGCCCCCGAACAGACCACTTCAGTTAAAGGATGATGCATTTCGGTTATTAAAGTGAAGAAAGCTCTCCTATAGTTTTATCCCAGAAGGGACTTTCTAAAATGGTCAGATCCTAGAGCCAAGATTGCTTACTAAATAAAGAAGAAAATTAAAAGGATCACCATGGAACATTTGGAGGTGGGGGAAAAAAATACATTAAGTTATTAGAAGAGATTCATTTCAGGTAACTTGTACATTTTGAAACTTTCCCAAAGGGAAAATATGGAAAGATATCATCACACCAGACGCCTATTCCTACCTGCTATTTCTCGTGGAACATCAACACTCTTCCCCCATTTAGTGAGGGCTACTACTCCATTACTTTGCGCCCTTCTTTGAACATGCAAAGCCATGTAGCATCAGGAGAGTTGGCACCGACAAGACAAATAGGATTCAGACGGGTTAATCTGACCAAAAACACATCGAGATAAATAAAACACCTAGGAAATGGAAAATGTCGGTCTGGAAGAGGGCTTGGCCCCGCCAACAAGAGCGACACGTACCTTAAGGACTTCCATCGGCACCTGGGTGGCAGAGGGAAGGGTGGTGGGCACGCTGACGTTTATGGCTGGGGTCGGACTCACAGGCACTCTCTGCTGCATGAACTGGGCGGCCTGCAGCTTCTGTTGCTGCTCCCTTCGCTCCTGCTCCTGCATTTGCTCACGCATGAGTTGCTGGCGTAGCAAGATGCGTGATGTCATACTGGAGGAGCTTATCGGAGGCTTGGAGGCCCCAGGATGCTCCTCGGAACTGCTGTGGGAAAACCAAAAAAAAAAAAAAAAAAAGGCACAACATTTAGTTTCCTAATGAGACCTCTCGTCTGCATTTTGGGGGGTATCCTAAATTGCACCCAACTATGAAATGAGCCTGTGTGACTATAATCAAGTCGCAGAATGGTACTCCACGTAATTGAAAATCAAGAGGTGACAGGATTTAAGTCATTAGGAGTTGAATTAAAATAAGTCAGCTTGATTGCATCTAGGCATTTTTATCATGTGGCTTAATTTTTTTTTTTTTAACATTTTATACCACATACTACTCATCACCACCAAATATAGCGCCGCCATATGAAGTGCCAAGAAGCAGTGCGTCTTAATGGCACCCAGATTTCCACATTTAAAAATAAATTGCTTGATTTGCTTTTTCATAACTGAATCTAACCAAATAACTACTCCTACATGTTATCTAAATTCCTTGAAGATGTCTAAGATGTTTACTAACGCGGAATAATTTAAAGAAAAGGTGAACTTTGTCATGGGGAAATTCTGCGAGGATATGGGAAGTAAAAACCATTAATGAAAGAAGCATTTGGACCAGAATGTTAACACGGGGCTCAACTTCAGGCTTCGGGAAGGGGGCAGAGGACGAGCTGGTTTGACAACGCAATTCTCCTTCTGGTTTTCTTTGTATGGTCTTTTCTCTTGATTCATCTTGGCAAGCTCTCTCCTACACGTGTCTGCGAGATCCCCATGCGGCCTACTTCTAATGGTTTTGGTGCTCGCTCTATCCAAAATTACAGAAAAAGCTTAAACACTAGTCCTAAGTTAGGACGAAAAGACTTCCTAATTTTCCTAAATATGGATTGCGACTGCTTATCTTGCCAGCTCTACAGCACCAACAAGTTATTCAACCTCCCTCTGCCTTAGTTACCTTATCCGGGAAAGAGGGATAATAATAGTTTTTTCCACATTTACTCATTTATCAAGGAGAAGGGGTTTAAAAACTTCTGTTACATTCCTTACATTTTGTGGCCCTACCTCTTTGGGATTTTGTGAGGATTAAATAAAATAATGCACATAAATTGCCTAGTACAATGAGTCATGTAGTACTACCTCAATAAAGGTTTGTTGTTGCTATTATTATTAGCTAGAATTTTTCGTTATTTATTTCCAGCAATATGGTTTTCTTTAAAAAAAAAAAAAAAATCTCTGTTTAGAGCAAACAGTGCAAAACCTTTTAGTACCTGGAAACAGAAAAGCAGTAACATTTGAGAAAATGTTCACTCTCAAGGAAGTCACTCATCAAGGGAAATATATGAAGCTTTAGCTTCCTTCCTTGAGTATAAACCCCAGTACTGTCTTTACCTTCCAACGAAAGACAAAATAAAGCCTTTAAGCCATTGGCCATCCTTATGAACTCCTTAAAGACAGGAACCTTCAAACTCTGCAGGTAACAAAACATGCTAACAGATGAGGAGATGTTTGTGTCCCTCACATGGTTCCAGAAAACTACATGATAAAAATTACACCAGCAGTTAACTTAGTACTCACCACAGGAAATCAATTCAGGGAATTATGATAGGATCATACAATGCAATACTATGCAGCCATTCAAAGTGCTGAAGAAATATATTTATGGTTGGAATTGAATCTACACAATATAATAAACTTAGAAATGCCAGCTGCAAAAAAAAAAAAGTGTTCGAGGTATGACCTAATTAAAAAAAAAAAATGTTCGCTACCAGAACAAGTGTCCTGATAATGCTAGTCTGAACCATTGCTGGCACAGTTACATATTACAAAAAGCACAAGAAAAACAACATTATCAAAAAGCTGTAATACTGTTCAGACAATCTGACTCAGAAATTTCATCGATGGACAGTTTTCCTAAAAACATAACTCAGAAATGTGGAAAACCTGATACTGCAAAGCTATTTACAAATTGCAAAATATTCTGAACCACCTAAATTTCCTCCCTAATATGAGAATGACTACATAAATTATTAGGGGAGATACTGGTCAAAAGGCACAAACTTTTAGTTTATGAGATCAGGTTCTAGGGATCCAATGTTCATCATGGCGACTACAGTAATAAAACTTATTGTACACTTGAAATTTGCTGCAAGAGTAGATCTCAAGTGTTCTCATAGCAAAAAAAAAAAAAAAGAGAAAGAAAGAAACAGAAAAGAAATAGCAACTACATGATGGACGTGTTAATTAGTTTGACTGTAATCACTTCACAATGTATACATATATCAAATCATCACGTTATACACCTTAAATACATAAAACTTTTGTCAATTGTGCCTCAATAAAACTGGGGAAAAAATAAAGCCATTTAAAAGATTTAAGCATAAAATTGGTTTTAAAAAAGTAAGTTGTAATACATGAATTTGACAACATACTACTTTTTAAAAAAACTGCACAACTACAAAGTGAGAAAACTGTATAATAAGAATAAAATAAAAAGTAGCAATCAAAAGTGTATTTATGTTTTAATTTAAAATAAGTAAGGTGTGGGTATGTATGTACACAAATACACATGCCTAGTAGGGACTGTATCAAGGTGATCTTAGCTGTCAGATGTAGAGTGGAATTAGAGGTTAATTTCTTTATTTTTTTTAGTTTTTCCCCCTAAATTATAATAAAGCCAAAATATTTTTTTTCAATGGCAGAATATATGTCTCTAATTTAAGAACATGAACTGATTTACAAACATGAAGGAATGACTTGGTAATCAAAGTCACCCTTCGCCTGGAGAAAAAGAGAGAGGGTCCATCACAGACTGTATTTTGACCGTAGGAAGGGAAAGTGCTGAGAGTATCCAGTGCCTTGGTTCTCGTGGACGACTTCAGCATTCCAGAAGACTTAAACCCTCTGTCCTTTACAGTTTCCTACAGACACGCACAGACGGAACAATGTGAATACCCTGCTTCTTATTTTAATATCATGCACTCATCCACATGGTAAGAACACCTAGACGTTACTCAAAATAATCTATTCACCAGGTAAGGCTCTACTTAGAAGAACGTAAAAAGCAAATGTATTTTCCCACTTTTGAGTGTGTGTTCAAAGCTCAAATGTAGCTTCTTGAACGAAGAAAGGAAGCGGGGGGGGCGGGGCGGGGAGCAGCTCTTAAAAAATAAATAAATAAATAACGGGTCTTACTATTCAAAGCCTGTCAGGTTAAAACATTCCCAGAGAGACTGATCCTTTTGATAAAAACAGGAGCAAACCTTTGTGCTGTAGCAAATGCAGCTGTGGAATAATCGCACTAATTAGCTGCTCAAGACAAGCCATTGGCTGTGATACTGGGGGAAAAAATCCTTTCAATTAACAGTAAAGCATTCTTGAGACATCTTAAATTAAAATTACCAGTTATCAACCACACTAAGGCTTCAGACTTTAAGTTCACAATGATATCATTTAAAGCATTTGCTGAGATAGCCTATCAGAAAAAAATATGCATATTTATACAGTATGCCCCTATAAATAAATTGAAACTCCCATAAAGAAATGTAGCAGAGCTCAGCTAATTGAAATTATTTTAATAAATCTTCTAAAAAAAATGCAAAAGGAAGACTGCAGTCACTTTGCACACACTCCCTGCAGGGTCTCTCTACATTGTTAAAGACGACTCCCAGATCCTCAGCTTTACTTGACAGTTTTTAAAGACCCCTATCTCTTAGAAATAATTGAATCTGCAATTATAGACAAAAATGAAGATATCTACCCTTCAAAGTGTGAGCAGGACAAAGGAGCATCAGGTTTTAAACTGAAAGTTGTGGTTTATGTGAGAACATTACGTGTGGCTACAAAAGCTTATGTGTAAAATGAGGACCTGATGCTTTCGTCATTAAAGATAAGCAAGGAGAGTCGTCCAGATGAATTTAATTTTAAAAGCTAACCAAGCTCATCCGGGGCCCATGGAGCGCAATCTGCATTAGGTAATCCTAATTCTGTGAGTCTGATTCCTTTTAATCAGATTATGTAAAGGTCATTTATTCAACAACTACTCAGTGAGTGTTCTCTCTGTGCCAGGTGCTCGGGATACCTGGTTTCTAATCTCACACAGTTTAAAGCCATGGTCACAGACATTTTTCTGAGATGCCCTAAAATTAAGTCAGTTATCCAGATTATCTGAGTCTTAAATAGATCCACAAGGGAAGGTGTCTCTCTCACTGTAAGAAATCACCCTCTCAAAGCCAAGTGAAGGAAAGGCAAACGCTGTTACTACCAATTCCCTGGAGCACGGAAACCTGACACACAACTTCGCCGAGAGCTGCCAGTTTCTCAACGGGATTCAAGGAGGAAGGCCATCAACCGGACACAAGTTCTAGCTCAGTCACCGCTGAGCAGCCTGATCTTTAATGAGCCATTCAACCTCTCTGATCCTCTCCAGACCCCACCTCCCTAATGCACGGCTGTGACTGCGCTAATATTACCGACATTAAAGTCCCCAACACAGCAACTGTTAGATGGACACCAGGCAGCCACCCATGGGACCTGAGTTCCCACCTCCATGGCTGAACTTGTATTTTAACCTTCAAAGCCTCCCCCTTCTCTGGGATGGTGCAGGTACGTGGACATGTGTTCCAAAACATCTCATATATTCCTATATTCAAACAGTCAATTCCGTTGCTTTCATTAACCTCTTAAATACATCAGATATTCCATGAAATCCAAATGACATTGGCCCAGCCAAGATGCCTTCATCCTTGCCAGTGATGCCAATATCCCCTTAGTAGACCTTATGGTTCAGTTTGGCCTCCATATCATGGTCACCCAAGGTAGGAAACCGGATGTCAGTTGAAATGTAGTCTCTAGGCTGAAGGAGATGACACACTTTTTCCTGTGTTTCCTCTCTTCAGTTCCTCAGGCAGAGTCCAGCTCTGCCACTTACTAGCCTGTGACTGTGGCCAAGTCAGTCAATGCCTTTGAGCTTCAGTTTTCCTTATTTATAAAGACTGTTTAATACATCTGCCTGTCAACGTGGTGATGAGGATTAAAATCTATGATAGATGTAAACAAAAT